TGCTGGGCTGCCGGACTCCTCGCCTAGTGTCTGCCGGATATCGATATGCCAGGGCGTCATGGTGTTCTGGGTGTTGTTGTCTGTCTCCGGTGGCGCGTGGGGCCTCCCTCCGAGGTTTCCTTGCCCACTGGTCTCTCGAGTGTTTCTCCTAGTCGTCCGAATTCTTTCCCCGCTTTCCACGGCTCTTCTGTTTCCGGTTAGTAGTTATGCCCTACTGTAGCTGGCTCATGGGATCCAGCCAGCCCATCGCCCACTCCTGTAGCTCTGGGTGGATGTATCCTCCTGGCAGCGGGGCCTCCACCTCCCGTTCTGCCAGCTGTGGAATGGTTTGCGCGTTCCTGGCGAGCTGGGCGTAGGCGTCCTGAAAGGAGACTATCCCTTGCGTGCGCCAGCGCCCGGCTGCGAGCTCGATTGCGCTGGGTGCTATTCCCGCGGCCCTGAAAACCTCTCGCAGCACGCCCCCCCCCCTCTTTCCGTGGACGATTCCCAAATGAAGGGGGCGAGAATTCTGCCCAATGCCATGTTGCTCGGGACGTCGGCATTGGCGACCATGGTTCGTGCATCAAGGATATCCTGTAGGAGTCTGGTGGCGCTGCTTCTGCCTTCCGGCGAGAGCTGTGCACCAAAACCAGGCCAACGTTGTTCAATTTTCGGGTTGTCTGGATCCGCCGGAGCGTCGTCGGACTGCCTGCGGGCTGCGAGGGGCGCCGGTAACCCCCTCTCGCGGGGGCGGATTCGAAGCGTCATCGCTAACCTCATCGCCGTTCCACACGGGCTGTTCGGCGAGAGGGGGTCCGCTATGGGTATCCCTTCTCGCCCCGCATTGGCAATGATGGCTGCGCATGCTACCTCGACCACAGCCGAGCCCACGCCAGGTGCGTCGGGCGGGCGCTCATCAGTCGGGATCTGTACCACGCCCAGGGCCTGCTCAAGAAAACTACCTCCTATCTCAGCCCGAAGCCAGTCTGCGTCGTCCGCGGAGATGGTCCTGAGACTCATCTGGACTCTCGCCCTCAGGTCATCCACATTGATGTCGGCCATTACGGGCTCTAGGGCGCGGTTCAGCACCGAGATGCGTGCCGCGCGCGCTAGGCATCCAGGGCCCCAGTCCCGAAGCTGTCGATTCACCGAGGTCTCCAGAATGCGGTCCCGTATCTGCGCGGAACCTTCTAGTGCCCAGCTGTGGGGTGCACCGCAGAGTCTGGCGAGTGCACCAACAGCGGCTCTGAGAGCTGGTTCGTCGCCCAGGTTCTCGTTGGCGCTGTCGACCGACCCGTGCCAAAGGTCGTTGGGGTTGCCCGTCATGCGGCGTCATGCGGCCAGCAGCTCGGCGACGCGCCAAGAAGGAGTGAAGCTGGTCGTCTCTGGTAGTAGGTGTGACGGGCATATGTGGCTTGCGATGGGCGCGTACCTGGCTCCCACCCTGGCCACTTAGGTGTCGGGATGCATTCCGTCAACTGCGAGGCACCACTGCGCGGCTAACCTGCGGCACGCGACGCACATGGGCTCGCAGGGGCCCCGTGGGGGCCACGACCCACAGCATCCCCACCACGTGGAGGGGTGGAAGAAGTCCCCGAACATTATTATGTGGGAAGTGGTGTTCAGGGGCCAAGGTTCACGCGGTTCCTCGCTGCCCTGCACCGCCACCCCGGGTCTGCCTGGAGCGCGGGCGCGCGCCCCGGGCATGGCTGGCATAGCCCGTCCAAGGGGGCCTGTGCCGTGCTGTCCCTCCGACAGGACGTCGGCGCCTGAGCTGATCCGATCTCCTCTATCTCTGGCCCATCGTCTTACCTCACTGTACTCTGGGAAGTGGGCCCTGTTCTGTCTGTGCTCATGGACGAGAATGCGGCATATTTTGAATCTACGCTCGAGGTCTGGAGCCGTGTCCCTGCCGTTTGGCCCTCCCCTCTCCGGGGCGGGATCGCATCTACCCCTGGTGGATGCGAGCGTGGCGCTCGGGAGGAGGTCGCCCATGGTGTCTGCCGAGCAGATGTCTGTGCAGTGCGCTGCGTACTCTAGCGCGTCGTACTCGAGGTGGGCTGCGAGCATTTCGGTGTCAGTAGGGTTCTCGCAACCAAATTTTTCTGCATCGATGACAGGGTCCTGCGCAATGCTGGCGAGGCGGAGTGCAAGTACCTGGACCGGGTCTGGCCCTACTCCTCCTAAGTCTTGCTTCGTGGTCCGCCCCGGTTATGGACCAGACTAGCCAGGATAGGTCAAGGTGCGCCAGCGCTGGTCCCAGTGCGTAGAATCGATGGTTGGTGCTGGAGTCATTCCAGCGCCCTTCGCCCCTTTCCGGAGCGGACCTAAGCGGGTTAGGGTCATCGCCCAACGGTCTATGGCCCCCCAAGGTGTTCGGGCCCAACCCAGGGTGCCCTCGGGGGTGGCGGCTCCAGCAGAAGTGGACCAGGAGCTCCAGTCCGGTACGCATCTCTGCGGTGCGCATCCCATCCTCTGTCGCCAGTTCTCTCCAGGGTCCGTCGCGTGGCTCAAGCTGGGCTGCCAGTGCGCTAAGAGTTCCTCCTCGACCAATCAGTCTGGGGCCCGCTACCCGCGGTCCGAAGTGGGGTCCGTCGGATTCCCGGCTCCCGTCCCACACCGCGTGGCTGTGTCCCGAACCGGCTAGCCCTCTGGCACGATGGAGTCCGCGCCTAGGTGGCTCCAGGTCAATGTCGGCGATGTCCGAATCGCCCTGCCAGTGCCTGGCATTACCCGGAGAGGAGCAGGCCCGGCATCTTCCCTGCTCGTGGCGGCTTGCGCCAGGAGTGGCAGGCGAAGGAGCAGGGAGGCCAGGAGGGGGGGCGATCGGAAGATCCTGAGGTGCGGGATCGGCGCGAGCGGCGATCGGGGCGGGCTCCTGCCTGGCGGCGCTGTTGTCGCTGCCAGGGGCCTCTGCGTCCGCGCCCCCCCCCCCTCGAGCCGATCGTTGAGCGGGCCGCGACCCTCTGGTCTGGGTCTGACTACCAGCTGAGGCGACCCGTCCGGCCCTATCGGGTGGAAGGGGAGGGCGGGCGAGATGGTGCTGGGGATAGAGTGCGCCGGAGACTGGGGCTGCCAATTGTCTTCAGCCTCTCCTGGGGCGCTGTCTCTTGGAGCTGTCAACGCCGCTGGCGCTGGGCCCCCGGTCGTCTCCCCCCGTCTGTCCAGCTCAAAGCTGTCCAGCAAGGCGGCGCTTTCTCTCATTGCGCTGCCCGTGCCTGGGGGCCCCGCCGTCGCGCCATTTCTGCGAGCGCCATCTGCCCCCCTTCCCGAAGGAATACCACCCTCCAGGCAGCCGTCTACCTGCTCGCCTGGGAGGGTGGAAGTGCCAGGGGTGCAGCTGACGGCCGCCTGCTCGTTGGGTTGGGCCCCATCGCCATGGGTGCGTCTCCGCAACGCACCTTGCTCGCAGCTGTTGGCCGCCGACTCTCTTGGTGCCCTGGAAGCCCCCTCGTGCTCCTCCTGCGATCCCCTGTCTCCCGTGGGGCCACCTACGTCAGCCTGGGCCTCGAAGCTGGACCGATGCTCCGCCTCGCGGCTGACGGTCGGCTGCTCGCTTGGAAGTGTGTGTGTGTGGGGGGGGGGGGGGCAGGGGGGCGGCTTGCGGCCGCTTCGGTTCTCTCCCGAATCTGCCCACCCCTTCGGGGGCACCCGCCGCTGAGGAAGGGCCGAGGAGGATCGGTGAGGGAGGCGGGAGGGCGGAGGCCAGGAGATCCCCGGGGTTGCGAGGGCCTTGCCCGCTGCGGTTGCTGGGCGACGCACCTTCTGGGAGGCCGTCTTGCTCCGAGCTGTCTCTCGGGGGGCTACCTCTGTCCACGCCAGCGTCTGGCTCGGCGGGTCCGTTCGGAGAGGGAGTGCCAGGGGTGCGGCTGACGGCCGCCTGTGTTCCTCTGTCAATATGAAATCCAAGGTGGCCATGGGCCTCTTCCGCTCCGCGCGCGGAGGGAAGACCAGGGTGGCGGCTGACAGCTGTCTGAGCTATTGCAGATATCTGCTCACCAGGGGTGCGGCTGACGGCCGCTTGGGTTCTTGAAGATCTGTCTCCATCAGGGCTACGACCCGTGGCCGACGCCTCCGATGGTCCCCGTGGGGAGCCAGGGTCACGGCTGACGGCCGTTCTGAATTGTTGTCTCCTTGCCGCCGTCAGGTCTGGATCCTGATCTGCCGCGCGGGCCAGGGGGGAGGGTTGTCCAGGGGGGATTTGGGTCTGGCTGGGGTCTAGGGGGGATCGGTCTGAGTCAGTGCTCGTGCCCCCAGGCTCTGCACTGATCGTTGCCCCCCCCCGCGACGCCGTCCGAACGATCCTCCATGAAACTGAGGCCCGCGCTGCCTGTCTGGGCCGCTGCCAGGAAGCAGCGCCGCTGTCGGTATGGCGGGCGTGCCCGTCGCGCAGCGTGCGGGCGCCCCCTTGAGCGGTGGGAGACTGCCCCGGAGGGAGCAGGCCCACCAGACGGCCTTGAGCCAAGGGGGGCTACATACGGAACCTCATGGGAATACGCGAAGCGTCTCGAATTTCGGCATCCCCTGGCCTCGTGGACGCCTCATACAGGGCGTTCCCTTGGCCTTCTCGGTTTCCTGGACCTCCCTGTTCGACTTCAAAGCAAACCCAGACCGATCAGGAGGGTGGCTAAACGGTCCCGCCATGCCCCAAGCAACCCCAAACACCCACCAACCGCCCGAAAACGGCCCACATAACACCGCCAATAGGCCCCGCAAGCGCAAAATGCTATGGTTTTCATACGGTTGTTGTTGTATGATTGTTGGTACTCGAATATTCCACCTGCTGGGCGTCCGAGGCTGGCCAAGAGACACCGGTAACCGCCTCAAGACGATCCCAAACAGCGAAAACGGCAGCAAAGAACTATCGCCGCTGTGCTTCAGTATCCCCCCATTCCGCCAACAAGCGGGAATTGAACATGACGCGAAGCGGCAATTCAATCTTGTGTGCGTAAATATGTATCTGTATACGCCTTCAATGAATCATCTTTGCATGTCTGCATATCTTTGTTTCCCCTTGTCGCCTCGTCGCTGATCTTCGTGCCGCCTCGATTTGCAGTCGCTATGGCCTGCTTGGCGGCATCCTCCAATGCTGCGCATCCCACGCTTGGATCATCCATGCAACCTGGCTTGCGGAAGAGAGGCTGCTTGCATCACCCGATCGTTATGTGGAGCGGCCCTGGGTAGAGCAACAATCCCAACCCCACGAACGATCTACCTTACGCTGTAACAACGCCTGGCTTCCGCTGACCAAAAACATGCAACACAACGGAATCTGCAGCCTGCCGACCTACACCGACGACGCCCATGTCGCTGTGCGGTCGCCTGTCTCAGCATCAATCCTGGCCAGCACCTCAAAGTTCACCAGCGTGGGCCCCAAACAGTGGGCTCTATGTGGTGCAATTCACTGGTGGAGAAGACGTCGCCAACTCCAATGTTCAAGCAAACATCCCGACCTCCCACCCGCCATTTTATGGCAAAACTTATATTGCCTTAATTTAAACAAGCACACAGGCGCGTGGACCCTAACCGCGCAGACGACAGCCACTCTGTACGACAGGGTATGGTGATGACGATGATGACGATGGCCACGGCACTGGCGACGGCGATGGTGATGAGGTCGATGAACAATGCGACGACGACGATGGCGATGAGGACGATTACGCAAACTAGCAACGCGAGCGCAAACAATGACGGCTGAGGACTGTGACCTGCTTGAAAATCTCAACGATCGCACTGGCACGTGGGCACTTCCCATGTGCATCCATGACTCGTGCGGCCGCGGGATCATGATGGTGACGACAGTGGCGGCGACGATGATAATGGCAGTGATGATGGTGGTGGCGATCATGGCCATGGCGGCGGTAGTGCCAATTACTATGGTGAAGACGACGAGGATTATGACGATGTCAACGGCGACGGCGACGAATGTGATGGTGAAGGCGGTGAGAATGGCGACGATGATGGCGATGCGATGGTGCTGGTGGGGATGACGAGGATGTGCGCGCGCAGAGCTCCAAAAGTCCGGGCGGAATCTGAATTGAACAGCACTGGGGTTTCACAAGTTTGAGCAACTCTTCCTTCGCATGTTCAGAAAGCCAATGGTGTTGTGCAATTTCGGCATGCGCGCACGCGGGGGCGCGCGCATGTGCCCCACATGTTGTTTCCTGAGGGGGGATGCGCACAACGCGCACTGGTTAGGCGCGCGCATGTGCCCCACATGCTGTTTCCTGAGGGGGGATGCGCACAACGCGCACTGGTTAGATCAACGCTTGCTTACCGCATGGCTTTGTTTTGGTCAGGATGAGGGGGTGTCGATGCTGGGTTGGCTGGGATAGATTGCTCGACAAACAGGATGGTTCTAACAGACTTAATACGTACATGTATACACATACATTTCTATCTATAGTATGTATTTATGAGCCAAAACCAACACCACGAAGGGGCCTGTGACGTCCAGTCTCGGCATGGGGGGTAGAGTCTTATCTTTTTTACTTTCTAGCAGGGGACATATTGAATGCGACGTACGTGGTGCAATATTTGTGGTGTCATCAATCGCGTGCGGTATGTGTTGTGAAAGCTATGTGGTTCACGCTGTGGGCTTTGGTTCAAATTGTGCAGTTCGTGCATTCCAATGAATGTGGATGATGCTGCACAATGAACTTTGGAGCTGCTCGGAGGCGCCAATTCCACTGCCCAGCCACAACTTCTTACACAGCTCAAGTGGCGTAGTGACGCGAAGGCCCCTATTATGCAGGTCCATGACTCGGGCGGGTGGGTGGTTAAGGTGATGGCGACATCGGTGATGGTGTTGATGACAGCGTCGGCGCTAGCGAGGGCGACGACAACGAAGATGGCGATTATGATAATGACGGTGGTGCTGATGATAACGGCGGTAGTGACGAAGATGACTGTGATGACGCTAGCCATAATGATGACGAGGGTGCTGCCGAGGATGAAGACAAAGTGCGAGCGCGCAGAATCTCTTAATTCAGATGTTTCGACTGTTTGTCACTATTTCGACATGCGCGCGCGGGGATGCGCGCGTGTGGTCCGCGTGATGTCATTTGACAATGTGATCAAAACACAATATATTGCTCATGATTTCAGCAGGTGCGCGCGCATGAATCTGATAACTTGTTGCTGAACACCTCATAATTTATAGTGTTCAAAAAAATGTCTTGAGCTCGTACAAGCATTCCCCAAACAATGTTTGAACTTAGGGGCTCTTCCTTTTCCTCCGAAGTACTGGTCTGGTATGGCAATTTGGCGGATATGTTGTCGCCGTCGCCGCCCCGTTTCCGCCGCGTCGCCGCCCGTCGTCTGGGCCGGTGTAGCATTCTGGCGGCTATGTTGTCGCAGTCGCCGCCTGTTCGCCGCCCGTCGCCTGGGGGTGTCGATCGGTTTGGCGGCTATGTTATCGCCTTCGCGCCAGGTCACCGCCGTTAGATTGCACCACAAAGATTGCATCACAAATATAGCACCACGTAGATTGCCCCACGCAGAATGCACCATACGGATCGCACAACATATACTGCACAACGCGGATTGCACAAACACCAGATATATGGTTCCACAAAGATTTCCACCACACAGATTACACCACATAGGCCGCACCACAACTATTGCCCCACATAGATTGCACAGCGCAGAATGTGCCACATATGTCCCCTTTTCTAATACAAAAAATTCTACCACCCTCCCCCCCCCGGGGTTCAACATTCACCTTCTCGTGCTGCAATTTGCATATGGTTCTGCCCCATCGTCCATCCGAGATGTAAATTCATACTGTCCCCGCCAAGCCGGTATCGCCCCCCCCCCCCCGCCATCCTCTGCAACATATCATATGCGCGCACACTCGTTTATAAGAAGTCATATGTTGTCAAGAGTCCGTTGAAACATGGGACGATGTGCGCACGCGCGCGTCGTCGCGCGCGCATTCCGAAATCCTTCAACAACGTTCGGTTTCGGAAGGATTCAAAATCGAGTGCCCAAACAACATATCAAAACAAAGGGCTTCGCAAAACTGATTTCAGTCAAAAAAGGGCGCGCGCGCGCTCATGCGAATTCTTGCGGGAATCAAACGGTTTTTCAATTTTTCCGACAATGCTAGCAAACGGGCTTCGCGCGCGCGCATGTCGAAATCGTTCGGACGCCCTTGCGCGCGTGCTGGGGTGGTAAGATCCGTGTCAAAAAATACCATGTGAACCACTCTCGCGCGTCTGCCGCGCGCACATGTCGAACTCATTCCAAAACCTTCATCACCGTCACGAAGATGCCGTCATCGTCGTCGGCGTGATCAGCATCGGCGCCGTCTGGCTGCCCCGTCGTCGCTGTCAGCGTCGTCATCAACGTCGCTACTATCATCATCGTGTCTACCGTTGTCGACGTTGCCATGATACCGCACCCGCCCGAGTCGCCGACTCGCACTGAAGTGCCCGTTGGAATGTGCCGAGAGGTCAGCGCCACCGCGTTCGCGTCGGTCGCGCCAAACTAGATGGCCGCTGCGCGCGCGATCATGCGCCACGGAGTGCCGTTTAGTTATCTCGATACCCAGGCGCGGTTCCTCGGAAGAGCGAACTCAAAAGAGAGAGAGAGAGAGAGAACTCTATGAACAAGACCGCGCGCCAAATTCATTCCGAGAGACAGCCTTTCCTCGATCCGGCCATTGCAATTCGGGCGAGGCTGCTACGGAACGCCACACGCGAAACGGACCCCACCCCTACCCCGAACATCTACAAGAGACCGCCCTCCAGTGCACAAAGCAAAAATCACATCCCGATGCGTACCGCTTACCACATGACTCATGCCTGTCTACGTCGACCCCCGAAGTACAGCCCGGCCACTCGGAGGAGCTTGCCCTGGCCGATTCGCGCTGCTCTGCGCGTGCCGCCTCATGTCGGCTTCTTGGCCATAGCTGCCGTCGCACGTGGTCAGCACCTTGGCGGAAACTCGGTAGGAAACGCGGCGCGTTGCAAACCAAAGCAAGAGGCGCGCGCTCGCCGAGAAGGGAACGAAACTGATATCAGAAAACTGCCCGACGCGTGTGGTAAAGGGCTGGCTCCAGGTAGAAGAGCTGGGAAGGGGGGATCTGCCCTGTTCGAGGGCTCTTTTCTTTTTTCTTTGGCACGCAGGCCGTTCGGTTCTTGTAGCTCGCAAAGTAGACTTCATGACGTGGACTCATCGTGAGAGTTCCTGCTGCAGCCGCTGTTCTTTATCCCCCAAACGCAAAGGTTGCGTGCCGAAATACATTGATATGCCGAAGATATTTGCATGAAGAGGTCCCCCAGTCGCATTAACTTCGTTGCGAAACTTGGCCTGGCCAGTCAGGGGCGCTCCTGCGCCTGGGTTTCGCAAATTCAAGGCAAGAAGAAGAGGGCAATGAGCAGGATCACCGAACGCAAAGAGGACGACTAATGGGGTAATTCCTATAATTAGCCCATGGCGCATAACGTATGCTGCAAATCCCATCCCGTCCAAAGCCCTCTCCACGTAGATTCCTACAATAATTTCATTCCACTGCGGAGAACGCCCCCATTGAAAGACGACCACCCCGTGGGCCTGCCCCGAACCCCGTTCAAAAACCACACGCTCTCCATCATTCTAAAAAGATAGAGCGCCAACGATACACGGGACTATCGATGGGCAACACCGCTTAATGCACGAACGCACTTCGGTCCGGGCCATTGCTGCACGATGCTGCACTTCCTGTCGCGTAATCTGGATACGTCGTAAGCGATACCCAGGCTGCAAAAAGTTGACAACATCCATGCGTGTAGCGACTATTTCATGTCTGCATGATCCCGAACCATGAGTATGTGAAGCCTACTGAGTGCAACCACTGGGACGAGACGAACCGACTCACGATAGGGCCCTACGTATTAAGCGCCAACCACGCCAACGTTTGGACAACATTCATACCAACATTCACGCAACACGCATACGGCACCGCCTGGGAACGGCCGACTGCGGCACACATACCATGGAACACTGGCTGGGAACCATATGGCGCCAACTTGGAACTGCCGGTTGCGGTACACCTGACACAAGGTACCGACTGTGATTGTGGGGGGTTCAAGCTAGAGACCCATCAACTATCAGGAAGATCTCGAGGGAAACGCACTGCTCGCCCTATCGGCACGTCTGGTGGTGCGACGGGGAAGAATCCACCACCGTGCCACCTGGCATGTTGAGGTGTGGTAGAATGCCAAGGGCTGTCTGGCCAAGCTTCTGTAATCTTCTACGGCCCCCTCTCTTATTTCTGATGGATCCCCCTCTTCTCGCAGACTGCCGCGTGCACCGCCCCACCCCCGCCTCCAGCAGCCACGGGCCCTCGTACACAAATACGTGGGGCCAGCGCGCCCGAGGTCAAGCTCCATAGTACATGGGCTGCGGGCGCGATCTGACTAGGCCACGCCCCATGTACAAAACATGGTTTCGCGCTTTCGAAATTCCAGGACGTCCCAACAAACACCCAACGCCGCAAAGATGGCCCGAGACGCTTCAAAAACGGCCCAAGATGGTTTCAAAACGACCCAGACGACCCAAGGTCCCCAAGCTGGCCTGAGACGGCCACGCCACGAGAGGACCCCTGACCTTTAACGCCGCTCATATGTTACCCTCCTCGCGCCCCTCGAACAACTACCTCCGATGCAACCGCAGGCAAATGGAGAAGCAACATATGAAAGCAATTGAGGATGAGGATGATGGGGGTGTGGGGGGAAGGAATGCTACAATTACCGATTCGAATACGAAGAAGCGCAAAACATGAGAAATGCTCAGGGAGGCTCGTTTTGTGTCCCATGTGTCTGCCGTAACGCAAAGGAGCGAGACAACTTGCACTAAGCCGCTTCCCCGATGGACGCATGGCACCGCCGCCCCATTTCGGCACGCCCATCACCGCGCGTCTCGATAGGGGGTTCCATCTAAGGTCCCATGCAGCGGGACAAGTCACGTCCCGATGGTTGCCCCGATGGATGTCCCGATGGTTGTCCCGATGGTTGCCCCGATGGTCGCCTCCCCCCTTCCCCCCAACTGGTGCAAACGAGGGCGGCGCCGTTGCGTGTATTGGCAATCAATTTGGCTTCAAGGGAGTTTTGCGTTTGCTCCACCTCCTTGCCAGCTGGGCTTGCTGGCCTCGCGCCGTCGTGGCGTGCGCGTACAAGACCGATGTTGTTCGACTGCGCTTCCAAAGTGGCTGGAGTTACTTCGACGGCGGAAGCTTCCAATCAATTCCTTTGGTGAGGTGACGCCCTGGCGCGGATCGTTTTTTTTTTTTTGTTTTTGTCATCTGGGACTTCACAGCGGAATGGTCGGAGGGCACTTAGTTGCGCGAATCAAGCTCACTCCCCAGGAATGCAAGCGGCCCGAGAGGGTTTCCCCAGAAGCCTCGAGGGGCCTAGGGTTTCATTCCTTGCTCGCCGCTGCTATGTTTATTTATCAGGGCCCTTGGCCTCATAGTGCTACGCAGATTGACCGAGCAGCGCTCTCTTTCGCCCAAAGATCGTCGCGCCGCGCGCACCATCCATATCACAGTGGAAGCGGAGCGAGGCCGTTCCGCTATCCCGGCGCTGCGCGCCGTACATACTGCAAGACGGCGTCTGCGACACGTCTTCCTGAATCGAAGCCCAGCGGCTTCCTGACCAGCCTGGTCGCGCTGTTGCTCAGCGCCTTCGCCAGCGTCAGCGACGCTAGCACCATCCACGTCAGCGTCAGCGACGCCGACATCAGCGCCTACCCCGCCAACTCCTACGCCAGCGTCGGCGACGCCAGCACCTACGCCTCCAACGCCTACTTCCCCTACGTCAAAATCAGCGACGCCGACGACAGCGTCAGCGACGCCGTCATCAACGACCACTTCGCCTACTTCTCCCAGGCCAGCGCCAGCGACGCAAACTTCAACGCCTACTTCTCCTACGCCAGCGTCAGCGACGCAAGCAACGTCTACTTCTCCTACGCCAGCGTCAGCGACGCCAGCATCAACGCCTACTTCTCCAACGCCAGCGTCAGCGACGCAAGCATCAACGCCTACTTCTCTTACGCCAGCGTCAGCGACGCCAGCATCAACGCCTAGCTCGACGCCAGTGTCAGCGACGCGGCTCACTATCTCATCCTTGACAAAATTACAGACAACTACGCATGCAGCGTCATCCCTACCTGGAATGGCGATCCGGCAAAATGGAGAGATTACAAACAGGAGGTCCAGCTCTGGAAGCTCAGTGAGAACCTCGCCGTGGCGCATAATCTCGGATCGAAGCTCGTGCTGAAGCTAGGTGGGACTGCCCGAGGCGCAGCACTATATATGACGGAGGCGCAGCTGCACCCAGCAGCCGCGGCGGACATATAATACCCTGGTGACAGGAAGCGCAATAGGGACCAGGTCGGCATCGAGAACGTGCTAAACCACCTGGGGGCTAGCTTGGGTCAGCAAAAGCACGTGCACAAGGGGGGCGGGGCCCTCGATCAATTCTTCGAGTCGACTCAACATCACCGACGACGAGGTGAACGCATGGCGGATTGGCCCATCCGTTTCGAGACTGGACTGCAGCAGCTGCGCGAGAACGAGGTGGACCTCAACGCGCTGGGCGACGTGGCGGGAAAGGCTGGGCTCACGGCAGAGCGCCGCGAGCGTGTCGTGGGCAACCTGCCCGACGAGCACTACGGCTACCAGCGCATCCGCGGGCTGCTGGCCAAGATGTGCCCGGACATACACGCGTCGGAGCGCCGCGCTCCCCCGCCGAGGTCATGGACCAACCGGTCGCGCTCACAAGGTGGCTGGCGCAGCAACGTTTCCTCCAGCCGCGGGGGGCGCTCTACCAACGTCGTCGACGAGCCGGGCGAAGAGAACGACGAAGAGTTAGAGGGGGGCGACGAGGCCGGCGCCCAGGACATCGCCAGGAGCTCGAGGCTTTCAGCGCCGAGCTCGAGTCCTTCAACGCAGACATCTCCGAGCTGTTCGACGGCGACGACTCTGCCATGGTCGAAGCTGCCGCAGCGGAACTTGCCGCTATTCCCGAGGCCATGGCCGCCATCGGATCGGCTCGGGAGGCCCTCAAGGGCCGCGGCAAGGCGGGGTCCGCGCCGAATCGCCGCCCGACCAAGCTACAGAGCCGAGTCAACCAGCGCAAGAGGAACACTTCTTGCTGGGACTGCGGCGAGACCGGACACTGGACAAGGGACAGGGAGTGCCCCGCGCCAGGTGCTCGCAAGTTCGCGCCCAAGGACGGCAAGTCAAAGGGCGGTGGGCGAGAAGGTCGCGGAGGCCGTCCTCAGCGCCAGGCGCGCATCACCGAGCAGGTCCAGTTCGCGGACGAGGAGATCGCCCTGCACCCGCAGGGACCAGTCACGCCGCCCCCTGAGACTTGCGTCTCGGAGCGGCTCATCCACCACCTGCCGAACGTGAACGTCGCGATCGGCAGTGACAAGCCCGTGGACGAAGGCGTCGGCGTGGTCGACGCCGCCTGCCTTTTCTGTGTCTCGGGCAAGAAGTGGCACGACAACTACAAGGACATCCTCACGAGGATGGGGCTTGCCAACCAGATCCTCGAGGAGCCGGAGGAGGAGGTCTACAAGTTCGGCAACGGAGGTGCTCTCCCAAGCAAGCTGCGCGTCACCGCGCTGCTTGTGCTGTGCGGCCAGGCTAGCCGCATCGTGTTCAGCGTCGTGGACAGCCCCACGCTGGGCCTGCTCATCGGCCGCGACTTCATCCAGCCTTCCAAGATCGACAATTCTCTCTGGAAAGGCCAGATCCGCATCGGGAACGCCACCCAAAAGCTCACCACGAGCGCCGCGGGCCACCCCGCAGTCAAGTTGCAGCCCGAGGACTGGCAAGCCATCAAGGACGCCGGCATGGAGCAACCACCCAGCGCGGCCAGCTCGCCCGGAAGGAAGCGACAGCTGGACATTACCCTATACGTAGAGGCCGAGAAGAC